CAGACAAGCATTCAAGCCAAGAGCTCAAGGCCCATGTCTTCTGATGAACCTTTATGAATTGACCTTATCATGGGCTCAATAATATGACCTGTTCTTGTCCAAACCTATCTACTTTGTATACAAATGGTTGCTTTCTAATTAATGTGGAGAGAATGAAATTGAAGAGACCCAAACCTCCTCAACCACCAAACCACTATCTCTTTCAAAGCTTCAACTCTTGTAGTGTGTATATGTGTCTGTGTTTGGGTGTAAAGGAATTTTGTTAATGGTTTTTTATGACTTTAGGGATGTCAGTGGGTTGGGTTAAGTGCTAAACAACCCACACTGATCCAACCGTCCCTATTGGGTTAGGGTCATGTCAGTTTCAAATGGGTTTCAGGTTGATATGAATCCGTGATAATTCAATTATTGATATTGTGGCATTGAAATACATACATACATATATACACATATAAAATATCATTCAAATTCGACTCATTTAAGGGTGCAACTTACGCAGACCCAAGTTGAGGTTTTGTTAAATTATGAATGGTCCCCAGTGCAGTACTGTAAAATGTTCAACTTGAGAACCCGAATTGCACCCCTAGTTTAGGTGGTCCTTCCTTTCATGGCGAAGACATTATGCTACCAGACTGCAATAAAAACTTAAAATACCTAACATGGTAAAGAACCCACCTTGACTCTCACTTAGATGGTAAGAGGCCTATGTTTCTAGTGAGCTCAGTCGGGTAAGGATGGTTTCGAGTTTCGACTAACATGGCAGAGGCTCAATTTTACCATGCCAATCTCTTAGAAGAGCCTGGATCTCCTGAAAGTAAAAACTCTAAGAACACGGCATCACATGAAAAATATCTCATGTACATGTATATTAAATTCATGAGGATGTTCTGTTAAAATGTTAAGTAGGAGCTGGTGTCAAACTGTTATATGCTTAGCATTGTTTTGTTGATGACCAAGATTTGGTTTTCCATTTTTTTTACCAATCATTGCTTATAGGCTTTTTGGGTGGGCCCTAAGGATGACAATTTTCTCTGTCCCCAACTCCCTATTAGGTACCTGACCTCCCCAATCCAATCAAATTGAGGATGGGAAGTTTGGTCCCCGCCCTCTTGCCAATCCTAATAGACCCCCACCTTGTACTCAGATCTGCTACCCACAAGAACACCATTCATGCCTACCCACAAGACACCACAGAGCCATACACTGGGACCATCTCTCCCATACTTGTATGTTGTAGTTCATGAGGAGATATTCCCAATGTGCGGTATAATGTTATGTGGGTAGATACGGGTAGTGTCATTGCGGATGGCAAATCGGGATGTGTGCATAAACCCTTTCAAATGGTCACTTCGATATGACACGCCCGAGATAGTAACGTGTAGAAAGCATATAAACAATGTTTGGCAAAAAAATACAGAAGGTTTATAAGCAATGTTTGGTAAGAAAATGCGAAAGCCAAATTAGTTGTTCAAAAGCAGCCATGACAACGCCAGGACTACAAGGTGAAGGAAACGAAAATGATTTGAGGATTGATAGGAAATGGTTTCAAGGATGAAACCAAATTAACCAATCCCAATGATATGGAAATTATTTCCTGTTCAACTCATTCAAATAAAAGAAAAAGTGAAGATATAAATAAAAAATTAATTGAAGTGGTTCTAAATTATCTTTTAAAGCTATTTTACATCAAAATAAATTCAAAACTCAACTTACCAACACAAAAGCTTTCAACAATTTATATTAATGTGGGTCTACATCCCTTAAACATTCAAATCCAATCAAAGGTAGTTATTTGTCACATCAAAACGAGATCGGCTTCAGTCAGTGTCCAAACAGCCTTTTGAAATCTTACATTAGAAATATCTTTCCCTAAAATAAGTATAGAAATATTTCTAATGCAAAACTATAAAGCCAAACTCCATCAAAACAGTTAAAATCTCCCAACTCCCATTATTTGCAGCATTGATGTTAACCAATGTTGATCAATATACACCGATACTCAATATTTTGAGCTCTTTAGGCCCAGTTTGGAAATATATATATGTACACACAAATATCTAGCAAAGCCTTGTATTTTATATTTCTAAACCTGCATTTGCATTGTATATATGTTTTTTTTTTTTTGTAATCTTTTCAAATTGGGCCAATTAGCTTGAAAAGAGCACAAATATAAATATATATAGTAAAAAATGCATGCAAAGAACAAGTTTGTGCATTGTATAATCACTTGTACATGTACAGTTTTACTCCTTCCAAACGGAACCCAATTTGCATACAAATTTTTACTGAGCCTTATGGAAGGAGTAATATACATATTTGTATTTGCACACTTCCCAAACGGAACCCAATTGGTTACACAAGACGCTACCTACGATTGTAGCATGAGTGATTTGGGAACTTCAAAGGTGATTAGGCCGAGGGTCTCACTTATAATGCAAAAAAGACGTCAGAATCTCGAGGTGTGATCTCAAGGGTGAGGGTTCCCATGGTTAAATTAGCCAAGGCAATGAAAAAGTGAAATGCCAAGGTGAAACAAGAGCAAAAGTAAGGGTCTATTTGTTTATTGAGAAAGGGATGAGAAAATGGAATATTTTCGAATGATTCTCCTTTCGTGTGTTTGTTTGATGGTAAATAGTGTTTTGAGATGAGAAACGAAAAGGAGCGGGATCTCAAAATGAAGTGAGCGGGATCACACCAAAACAGTGCAACCTCGGTGGGAAAAGAAAAAACTAAGAAAATTGGGTAGGCTTTGTCAGAGCAAAAAGTCAATAGGGAACTTCTTCCCCATTTGGACCCCAAAGACAGAGAGAGGAATTTTTTGGCTTCGCCTATTCATCATCATTCTCCCTTGCTCGAAAACCAGGAGCGGCGGCTACCTCACACCGGCTACACCCCCCACTCTTCTTCTCGTAATGTGACGAGGAAGAAGTCTTCAAAGTTATTGTTCATCGGCATCTTCCTCTCGACTATAGCGAACCAAAGCGGTGCAATTGAAACAGCCACCGCCGCTACAACTTCTAGTAGCAGCGGTAATTTCTTTGCTTCGACATCCTCCCTCTTCCTCTCCCTTTTCCTCTCTTTCTATCCCATTCCACCCTTACTTCTTGCCATCGAATGGTTGTTGGACACCTTCCCCAACAAAAATAGAGCAGCGGCAGTGGCCATTGTCCTAGTAGTGAATTCCAAGCGTCTCCGAAAGACTCCCCATCTAAGAGCTCATTGGGTCTTCCCTGATTTCAGATCATACCCCCGATAGTCTCTATGTTCGACGGTGAATAAACAACAATGTTTGCTTTCTAATGCATTTTCCCTTGCAACGAATCGAGAAGAAACTGAGAGGGTGAAAGAGAAAGGGGTGGAAGATGAAGGGGTAGCCGACGCCCGTTGCTAGTTCACCGCCTCTATCGAGAGCTCCAAGATGATGAACAGTTCGGAGAGGGGAGACAATACGTCGGAGCGGGAGAAGGTTACCAAGCTGAGAAATTCCACCGTCGACTCGTCGTGTCCAGACGAGGAAGATAAACAGTGCCAACCTCCTCAGGTTTCGGTTGGAAGAAAGAGAAGATGAGTCTCTTCTCTATTCGGACGAAGGGGAGAGTGAAGAGAGAGAGGAGAAGGGGTTGTCGTAAATTACATGCATTTTTATATTTGAGCATGATTTTTCTCATATAAATTTTCTTGCAAAACAAACACTGGAAAGTGGATTTTCTCACAAATTTTTTTTCAGCAAACAAACACATTATAACTAACTAAGAAAATAATTTTTCCTCTTCACCAACCTTTCTCAGCCCAATTTTCCCAATAATCAAACAGACCCTAAGGCAATGTTTGGTTTGAAGGAAAATGCAAGGAAAGGAAGGGAAAAGTAGATAAGGTGATCATGTTGTATGGAACCTTTACAATCCTTGTATTGGTTTCCCTACTTTTTCCTTCCTTTCCCTGCCTTTTCCTTCAAACCAAACATAGCCTAAGTGTGAGAGTTAGAGTCAGAAAATTAGTTATAGCTCCTAGTTCTTATTTATAGGTAAGGTCATATTGATGGGTGTGTTATGATACCTTGTAATGGTTCCATACATCGGGTCACAACACAATAAAGGCTAGGCTCATTAAAATGGTGATCACTTTGCCGAGTTTTACTCTAACATAGGTTTTCCTATTTTTCCCTACTTTTTTCTTCAAACCAAACACAGCCTAACGAGCTGAAGGCAAAGATCACAAAAACCTGCAAAATGACAATATTACCCTTCATATGTGCCACATGTCGGACAAGGATTTGATGGATAATTACTGCCATATCACATGCCCCCCAATTCCCAAGCCAAAGATTGAATAAAAAAAATATCCATAAATAATTAATAGTCCTTTAAATCTATCTTCCATCATATTTCATATGTCAATAATCATTTTCAAGATCCAGAATTTACGTTCAAATATCAGAAAAGGAAGCATTAAAACAAAATTTTACTTTTTTTTTATTTTATCAAAACTTTTCTACTTTTCAGCATTCAGAGTTCAGTGTTACCAAACAGCACCCAAAACGCCTTAAAGAGGCCAATGAGCAATTGAGCATGCGAGCCACTCTTGGGTTATTTACTGGAACACCCCCAATAATTTCAAAATTTTACTTAAAACCTATCTTGTAGTTTTTAACTTTTTATTTTACTAAAAAACCCCAACGAGTAGATTACCTCTGTCGATCATCCAAACGATGTCTAACGAACCAGAGTAGAGAGGGAAAGTAAAAGAAGCAATCAGCAGTAGAATCGTACTCAGAACAGAAAAGTTCAGGGATCTAGTAGTACATGATGCTACAATTCGTTGGCTGTAGCTTTGATCTACGGTTCTGATTATTCTATATCGATGTTGCTCTCGTTGATTTCATGCACGTGTTGGAAGGTGGGACCCGACCTACGCAAACCCCACCATTCCAGCGATGACAGCAGGAGTGGGACTTGGTCACCCTGGGAGATGTATATCTTTTTATTTTTTGGGGAGATGTATATCACCTTCTCATCGCATAATTTGACAAATCATTCTCGAGTGAAATACAGACTTATCACTTTGTCGTTGAACTCCTCTCTCCCCACTTCCATCGTTCATTCTCTGTCTAGGGTTTCTGCAATCTTCTCTTTTCCTTCTCTCTTCTCTACGTCGAAGCAGCTCTTCTTCAGATCTTACCCCCACTCTTCTCTGTTTCTATCGAGGTACGTCTCTGCATTTCTGGGTTTTTTTCTCTGTAAATATCTTATCTTCCCAATTATGTAAATATCTTTTCCTTTTGATATTGTACTCATTGTTTTGAGGATTTCCTGACATCAAAAGGAGTTTGAATTTTTGCAGTGTTTTGCCTGTTTTGGGTTTTCTTTCTTGATTTTGGAATTCTTGATTGTGGCAGATGTGTTGTACAGTTCTTTTCTTGTAATTACGTGATTCTGATGAAATGGGTTCTTGTTATTTAACCCATCTCTTGCTTTTTTTTTTTAATTCCCATTAAAGGTTTTATCTGTGATTTGAAATTTGCATGCTGAAGATATGGGTGTTTTCTGGTCGGTTGCTGTAGATATGGATTTGTTCTGTTCAATTGTTTAGGATTTCAATCGTCAACGCGTATCACATCAAAGTGGGTTGATTTTCTGGTTCATTTATAAGAAAAAACCATGGGTTCTCTCTCAGTTCCTTTTTCTTCTTTACTCTCTTGCTCAAAGACTAACCTCGTGTTTTATGTCAGTTTCAATGTTTGATGCCTATTTCTTTTTACTGTGTAAATTGGTAGCTTTCGGGTGGTCTTGGAAAGAAAGGAAGAAAGGAAGTAATTGTGTGTACAGGGTGAGTTCGGTGTTTTGTCTCAGGAATTTCGGTGGCAAATACTCACAGAGAGAAGTAAAGGATGTCGAGCGGAGGAAACACTCATTGGTGTTACATATGCAGGCGGTTTGTAAGAATCCGTGGGCTAGATACAGTATGCCCTCTTTGTGATGGTGGTTTTGTTCAGGAAATCGATGAGATGGAGGGCATTGGATCTATGGGTTTCTTTGGTTCGGATGCTCATGACGATCATGACCAGAGGAATGCTTTTATAGAAGAAGCTCTCTCAGCCCTGAGCATGATGAGGCAAAGATTCGCAGGGAGAAACCATGATCTTGACACAAGAGGGAGGTCTGCTATGGTTCCTGAACACAGTATGGGATTTGGTCAATGTCCTTTCTTCTTATTTCGTGGTCAGATCCCTGTGGGGAGGTTTGAAAATGGTGAAATTGAGGACTTCTTCAATGGAGGTCAAGGAGTTGGGATGAGGCGGTCTAATGTGAGCCATTACTTCATTGGCCCGGGACTGGATGAACTGATAGAGCAACTAACAATGAACCTCAATAGGCGGGGGCCACCCCCTGCATCTCAGTCTGCCATTGATGCAATGCCCACAATAAAGATCACAAACAGGCATCTGCGCACTGATTCACATTGCCCTGTCTGTAAAGATAGGTTTGAGTTGGGTTCCGAAGCACGGCAGATGCCATGTAACCATATTTATCACTCTGACTGTATTGTCCCATGGTTAGTTCAGCACAATTCGTGCCCTGTCTGCCGCCATGAATTGCCTCCACAAGGATCTAGTAATGCTCGTAGTAGTCAAAATTCAAGCAGTGGCAACAGAAGCAGCAGTACTAGTAATAATTCCAGTGGCAGGGAAAATGGTGGGGAGAGTCATGGAAGGCGTAATCCATTCTCTTTCTTATGGCCTTTCCGCTCATCGCATTCGAACTCTCAACATGGTGAATCAGGCGGAAGCAGCTCAACAGCCATCCGTGAGGACAATCACCAGATGAATTATTCTGGATTCCCTTTTGATTATTAAGGCTGCGCTTCAACTATCATTTACTTCCTTCTCCTTGTTGTTTGGTCATAACACCTCTCCAATTAATCTATGTAAATTTTCTTGGAGTGAAAGCGGTGAGACCTTAAGTGCCGGAAGCATATATCTAGATGTAATTTGATGATCTCTGTCTCTACCTTCACTTAATGTAAATGATGTGATCTTTTTAAGTGGCTTGCTCATGATAATTCCCAGCAAAATAGATTTTTTTTTTTTTCGTTTCCAAATAAAATAGCTTTTTTTATACTTTCTAGCACTTGCATTGGTGACTTATGTTGATGTAATCAAGGTTGTTGGTTCTACTGCTGCTGTTAGAGTTTGCATGGTTTCTGGATGTAGTTGATGCCTATTTTATCAGTCTATTTTCTGCTACTTCACTTCTATGGAATTGGAATGTAATCATTGTTGCATGTTTAAGGGACTCGTATGGAAAGGAGAGAAGATTTCCAATGTTACTCAACAGGTAGGGCAGAAAAACCATTTATGTCAATAGAATAACTACCAAATAACTACATGAAGTAAAGGCTGACAATAGAATAAGTTACCTTTATAGCAGGACTGAGCTATGAGAAAGAAGCAATTCTTTTCTTATTGGTTCTTTGTTGAAGTAATTTTTTCCCTTGTTTTTTCTCCATTGCATTGGCTTCAAGAAATGAACACCAGCCTAACTGAGCATTCTGTTGGTGGGAAGCCATTTTTTTTCTAGCCTGGTTGCTTTGTTGCTTGTANCCCCCCCTTTCTTTCATTTTAATACATTGATATCCCATACCAAGACACTCATATAGGTAAAGAAAATATCTGTAAAAGTAAAGGTTCAGCTTTCCTTAGCCATAACTAACTACACAACCTCAGAGCATCAGAAATCATACTACTTCCATCTTACCCTACGTCCTACCACTCTGAGTACCTTCTATATGCATGACTGGAGGTATGATAAAATGTTTTGATTTTCTCCTCATTTCATTCTTCTCTGGAGGAGAATTTATCATTCTATCCTGCTTCTCTTTTCTAATGCAATCAAAGAGACAGATGGCCCTAATGCAAGAAGAGGTGTTACTAATTATTTAGTTAGTTAGTTTGTCAGTCCCAGGCTTCCATCCTGATAAGATTCATTTGATAATTAGTCATCCTTCCTGTTTCTTGCCGTAATGGAAATTATCCATAGGGTCCGGCTGTCTGACTATGAAACCTTGCTTAGCTGTGCTGCACTCTAGATTTTGTTGAAATGCTTTGTGTAGGTCCTGGGAAGTTGCTGGCCCAGATTACCTGGGTTGGCATTGGAAGAGGAAGGATTTCATTTGATTTGATCTGGTGCTGTTAAGCAATTAAATTTGTCAGGGTACAAATAGCTCATGCCGACACAACCACAATATGCTGTGCCAGAGTTGCAACTGAGAACCTTATTCTGCATGTCTCTGAAGACTGGCAACCACAATTTTATGAAAGTGGCTAACTCAAGCTTTTTCGACAAACAATTCAATTACTTGTTTGTGATGATTGGGTCCAGTGTTTTTGAACCGTCGTTGATCGGGATAGTCGGACCATTAGACCCTGAAACTATTCAGGCAACCGGTTCTGTTTCACCCTTAATCTGTTTTTGTTGCCTCTGTTTCACCCTTAAATCTGTTTTTTGGTCAAAAAGCGTTGATTTGGTCAGCGATTCACTGGCCAGGGTGGTCAAATCATTGATCCATTGGACTCAGATAACGATTTGTTGCTGTTTTTTGTTTTAATTATATTCTCTATTAATTCTTTTGCTGGGGTTTTGAACGGAGAAAATCAATCAAAAGTTCCGGCTGAGAAAATTTGAAACCCTTCAGTGCCCTCAAAAGTGAATGTTTTGGTTTGGGAAGCTGTTCTGAATAGATGTTTTAGGAAAGATTCCCTGATTAGGAGGGGTGTGCAGATTCAGGACCTGCTATGTTGTTCTATGTGGCCAAGGGGCCTGGGGCTTCAATGCCACTAAGTTGGCGAGGTGCATTTGGAGTGTCTTGCCTGCAGCCATTTCATGCACAGTAGAAGCTTATAAAGCTTCTGATGTAGATTGTTTGATTGCCTTTTGCTTTCGGCAAGCTCATTTCCTGGGTGGCTGCGGCCGAGGGTCTTCAAAATTCAGTCCTCTATTCTCAGTTGAGATTCAGGGACCTCCTTGAATTATGATGGTTTAGTGTGTTTTGCTCCTTGTCTTGGGGGCTTTGATTGTAATCTAGTGCTCCATGAATAAAATTGTATCTTATTTTTCCCAAAAAAAAAAATCACTGACCCAGGAGATCAAACCATTGATCCGTTTGACTCAGATAACGAGTTTTTGCTGTTTTTTGTTTTAATTATTTTTTATTTTTTACTATTTTAAATTGAAATGGACTATTCATTCAAACCGGACGGTTGAACTGGTGAATAAAACGGTTCTGATTCCAGGTCGATTTTTAAAATATTGCTCGGGCCTGCAATGTGTAATCCATCAGCTTTTCTTTAATATCCAAAAAAACTGCTCGCCCCTATCGCCCACAATATGAGAATGATACTACATCAGAACATTTTGTTTTCTTTTATTAACTTCCATTAATTCCAATTCTCTCCTATTAACTTTTAACATAACTATTTGCTCACCATTATACTCCCCTAACCCTTTCTTTTCTCATTTACTTGGCCATTAAGTTCTTGTAATGAACTTTTGCTATATAATTTTTATAATATAAAAACTACAAGTAAGAGGAATCAAACTTGGGTTTTGGTGGGATCGAATGACAACTAATACATCATTTATACCACACTTAATTACTTGGTATAATTATATGGATCATAAGTTTTAGGCATTTTCTCTTCTTAATGCCAGGTCAATCAAAACAATCAATTATTAAAAGTTTTATACTTGTAAATATTAATAAAAAACTATGTTGAGTTTCTATCATTTTTCAAGTGTGTTTCATAGTTCACACATCGTATAAATTATTGAAATATTGTTTTCTATGTTTATATGCCTTATATGATCATCAAGGACTTAGGTTTTGTGTTATTAATGTATTTTCTGAAATTTACTTAATTTTTCTTAGGGGACATTCTTTTTTTGGATTTTGAGAGGGGAAAAGTTGGTCAATGAGATTTTGTTTCCCATTGACCAAGAATCCCATGTTCATTTTTCATATGTATGTGGGGACCAGGGAAAATTTATTTTCTCCTAAGTGGGTAAATAACTTTACCACCTAGAGGGAAAGTTGTTAACACTTGAATGGGACAAAAATGCCCCTTTTAATAATGATTTTTTATGGCTAAAATGATCATTACCTTATTTACTTAGGAAATAAAAGAACATGGGTAAATGCACTTACCCTGATAAATGTTTCCAAGAAAAAGTTACTCGGGTAATTGCATTTACACAGGTAAGTATCTTAACCAAAAAGCGAATAGGGCATTAATGTATTCATGGGCATCTTAATTTTTCCACTGTATCCATACTTATCCAAACGCATCCTGTACACAAGACACTACAGCTGCACATCAAGAACGAAAGAGTAAGGTGCATTGATGGAAAGTAAACTGAGGAGTTGTAATATGTAGCTTTCTGATTTGCCATTCAAGTTCAGACAGAAAAGTGTTCCTGAAAGCCTCTCAAATTAATGAACATTACATGGCATCGAGTAGGGACCAGCACATGTTTTACATGTGATTAATGAATTGAGTAAATTATAGATAAGTACTTTGCACTTGTACTTGGGATTAGTGACATCTAAGAGTCCGAACTTTCAAATGGGGCATTTTACTACCCTTAACTTTTAGAAATATATACTTGAGTCCAGTTCTGTTAAAGTTATGTTTGGTGATTAAGTGGTTGTTAGCAAGTGTTTATTTTAACAATCACTTAAGGTTGTTTGGTGACCTATTTATCAAATTATTGAAGATTTTTGATAACCTAGTATTCCCACAAGTGCTTATTTTCTTATAAATGACACTTTTATCCCTCATTTCACCCACACAAATGATCAAAGTGGTAGGTGGAGGGAGCCTTACCTATCATTGCCAGCACGTTTCAGGTAAGGTTTCGGTTGAAGATTTCAGATTTGGGGTAATACACACATGAAACATCTCAAATTGCAAAAAATGTCAAAAAAAAAATTGAAATGGGAACGAAGATTATTGGCTAGAATTGAAAAACACTACCCACCGATCGATTTTTCGTATTCAAAGTCGTCGCCGGTCACCCTCTGATATCTTGCCCTGTTTGAATGGGTTTTCTCCATTCATGGCGGCAGTTTGGGCATTATGAAATTTTTTTAAGGGATTGGACCACCCCAGATTTCAACAAGTGCTTAAAAAATTTTTTTCCCACTTAATGTGTAGTTTCAACACTTTTTTTAAGTACTTCTTACCAGTGAAATCAAACAGGGCCTAAAACTAGCATTACAATGAGGATAAAATTATAAAAATATCCATATTCAGATTTTCTTTTTGTTTTTCATTGTTTTTCGTAGCTCCATTGAAATGCTTTTATTCTTTGTTGAAAAAAAAGTACAGAGATGGTTTAAGATGAAAAGAAAGGAGTAAAACAAAAGTTTTGCCTTCAAATTCAACATATATGATTCAAAATAGGTAGATCATTTGAAGGTGAAAAGTTGAAAGCAGACTTTAGTATGGGCTTTTTTTGTAATTTTATGTCATTCTAGTGTCAGTTTTAACAGACTTGGACTTAAGTTTATATTTCTAAAAGTCCAGGGTAGTAAAATGCAAGGCTCAAAATATCAATACACCGGTAGGGGCATATCAGGCGATATCGATACCTTTTTTTTTTTACTTTCAGGGGGAGCGGTTTAGGGCTCCTCCACCCCCTGAACCAGTCAGACCCCCAATACATCCATTGTAGGGGCGTATCAAAAAGGTCCTAGAATGATACGTATCGGCCAATATGGGCCGATATGTGTCGATACTTTAAACCTTGATAAAATGTCCCGTTTGAAAGTTCGGACCCTTAAGTATCACTACCCCCAAAGTACAAAGTACCTATATTCTACTATAATGAATTCATAGTTTTATATTCATGTCAGTTTATTCTACACTTAAGAATCAAACAATGGTTAATTTCTTTAAAAATGTTTAATTTTTATTAAAAAGTAGTGAATCATACATTGATTAAATCCAAATCTAATATGAAAAGAATGAATTTAGGTTTTTAATAATTGGGATGAACTTGGATGCGGCTAGATACAACTACAATTAGGTTGTTTTTGGTACTATTCGTGTTTCAATCTGCAATGTTTTGACTTGGAACAGCATCGTTTATGATTGAAACATAAAAACCGCTTTTTGTATTGGAATCCTGTTTGGTAAGAAATGTGTTTTTTCATCTGTGTCAAGTGTCAACACCACCACATCAGCCATGATGTTAAGACTTTGATTTCCTAAAGCAGGAAACATCAAATTGATATTTCTTGAAACACCCCCTTACATGAATTTCATGAAAAGTATTTTACGACAGTTTTAACTCAAAATAGGTACCAAACAGCCCTTTCGTTGTATTCGATTGTTTTGTAGATACATGGGAAAATCTATGATACAAGAAATATATAATATGGAAAAAATTTTGACCAATCAAAACTCACCCATGAATTTTGATAAATAATTCCTGATTCGTTATCATGCTTATGATTCCAGTTTATCGGTCGATTGTTTTTCAGATATCATATCTTTTCCATATCATAGTCGAAACCGTAAACATATAGTTTCAATGTTTCTAGTGATTTAAATATAGAAAGCGTATGAAAAGGTTGTTCTTCTGCAACAAGAAAAGGATGTATGTGAATTAAGTCAAGTCAAGCACATAGAAAACTCAAAGCAAACAAAACATACAAGATAAGATGGCTTAGAATATTGAGTGGTTGTATATCTGACAAACGAATATGACATGGCACCAAAAGCCATATCTTATACACATAAAAACCTCCACACTGAAACACTCCACAGATTGTCAAAGGACCAAGTTGGACCAGGCCGACATCATCCCAGGTAAGACTGGCCAGTCCATTCTCTCAATGAACCGGTTTTGGGTTGACCCCGTCCAAAGCAAAATCAATTTGGATGGATTGGATAGATCAGTAAGACATTGAATTGGACCAGTCCAGACTTAAATGGTCCAAAGTATTTATTGGATTGGATTGGACTGGACCTGTTCCATCCGTTATGAATTTATATTGGATTGAGTCAGATTGAACCAATATCCAATCCACTGATAGAAGATAAGAATACAGGTGTCAATGAATTAGGTTTGAGTTAGAATAAATCTAAATTAAAATCAATTTGAACAGATTGGACGGCCCAGACATTGAATTGGACCGTTCCAAAATGATCCAAAGTATTCATTGATTTGAATTGAACCTGGTCCGTTAAAATTTTAACAATTCCCAGATCCAAGCTCACCCAAGTTGCACCTCAATTTGAATTTGAGTTTTAGTCAAGTCAGTCCCGCTGGGTATATATGTACAACACCAGTTGATCGATACAAATTAGCATGCAACTGTTATTTGATGGTATTATAGTTGAAACAGGCATACCTTAGAAATAAACTGCATTGCATCTATAGCCGTGGTATATAGGAGGCTGTTTGTAGAAAGTAGAAACCTTAAGGCTATTTTGGTTTGAAGGAAAAGGTAGGGAAAGGTAAGGAAACCTTTACAAACCTTGTATAGGTTTCCCTGTCTTTCCCTTCCTTTCCCTACATTTTCCTTCAAACCAAACATAGCCTAAATCGACATTTCTTGCTCTATAGAGGTGTAAAGTCTAATCATTCTAGCTGAAGTGACTCTTATATGTGTGCAATAATACATTTCACTCACCGATTTGTATTGATTAGCCCAAAACATTTCAGGTAAAAACAGCAAAGTTACTAAACACAACCTCTACGTTCAGACTCAGATGGTCAGACCAACTAATACTCAGCATTCTGCAACTGAAATTTAACTGTGTTCAAGCTACCCAAAAAAAAAAAAAAAAAATTCAAGCCACATTCAATTATACCCCTCGATGTTTTAAAACCGGATCAGGAATCGAAACTGTTTCGGCCACCGGTTTTCAGGTCAGCAGTTCGGCCATCCAATTTGAACAGATGGCCCGGCCAATTTAAAAAAAAAAGAAAGACTCATAAAATAATTAAATTAAAAAAGGTCAAAACTGTTGTCCAGGTTGAACAGGTCGATGGTTTGACCACCCAGGTCAGAAAATTGCTAACTAAGTCAACGGCTTTTTGCCAAAGAATAGGTTAAGGGTGAAATGAAACCGAATACCTTGATGGTTCTTCGGAAGAATGATCTGATCGTCTGAATCAACGAGGGCTCCTAAAACCACTCCACTCTCAAAAGATATATCCACTGCTAAAATTGGGCGGTTTGATCTTTATGTAGCTAAGTTTCAGTTTTAGCTTAGTCATGGCCTCTGGCTAGATGACTTTCTGGCAAGGAAATTTAGGGTGATTAGAATCTTTCAAGTAGAGGCTCTTGTGAAAAGACTAAAATGCATTCACCTGATTGCCTTGTCAATCCCAATTCATTCAGTCAAGTTTCAGTAAGTTACTGCCCACATAGTTAGCTCATATAGGAGCTGACTTGGCTCGGCTCCAGCCACGTCATTGCCACATAGCTATAATGAGATAAGTAATTAAGAAACCTTTTCTTATCCAAATTATTGTTCTTTTCGGCATTTTTTTGATTGACTCCTCTTCTTGATGTGGCAATTGAAGTGCCTTACTCTGCATATGGCTCCAAGGATTTCTTTCTCACCTCCATGCTCTATCTCCTTACATGGCTGTTGATCTGTTGTTGAAAACATGACGCAAAGTATCAATCCTCTTAATATGCAAAAATCGCATTTCGAGAACTTCATTTAAAATTATTAAAATAGACTCATTTTTTATATTTAGAGAACCAATAATGCATTGAACCTGGATTGCCAAGTCTAACAAACAATTAGGTCTGTTGCCACCACAATTGATTGATGACCATGTAGAAAGAGATTCCTTATTGGACAAGATTTGGACATATTAGCCCTATACGCGGCAGGGAAAAAAGATCAACATGCAGCTATGATTTGCAAGATTTAGATATTTGCTTGAATTTTAGATATCTTTCTCTGCTCCGATTTGTTTCAATCTGAAAGCTATCTCTCTTGTTTCTACTTCTCAATATTGAAGGTTTTTGAAAAAAATAATATAGTATAGATATTGTTTGGTTAAAGATCTTATTTTAGGGTAAACTGCAAAAGAACACATAATACCAAGGACTTGTTTTCCAAGTTTTTTATTTTGAGAACCAAGTGGGCGTGCCATTTTGTTTTCAAAAACAAAAGCATACACATTTGACATGGCCAAACACTCCCTAAATTGTTTCTGAACCAAATGATTTTAATTTAATTTTAGAACTCATAACGAGAAGTCAGAACAATTCACGATTCACATTGGAGAACACATCTTACATTTTAAGGTCCTAAAAGGCTTTTTAATTCTTTATTTCAATATTTTCTTTTCTTTTCCTTTTTTCTTTTGAACTATTTTTTAGTAATAAGGTTTAAAAAAAAAACCTTCAAATTTGTTATCCTCGCTACTAAGGGTGTCAATTTTTGGATTGGACCCCATCCAGTCCAAAATCAATTTGGACAGATTGGATGGACCAACAAGATATATTGGATTGGACCAATCAAGTCCAAAATATTTATTAGAATGGATTGAACCTGATCCGTCCGTAACAAATTTATATTAGATTGAGTTGGATTAAACCAATATCTAGTCGATTGATATAAGATAAAAATATGCGTCAATGAACCGGATTTTGGTTGAAACCAATCTAAATCAAAATGAATTTGAACAGATTAGGCGATTCAGACGTTGAATTGGAGAATATTCATTGGTTTGAATTGGACCTGATCCATTTATAATGGACTCAGATTGGACTGGATCGGATTGGACCAAATCCAGTCCAATTGACACCCCTAGACTCACTACCTCACAAGCTTCTCCCAATACCATAATACTTGGAACTTGGATGTGCATTGCGCAATATAAAAAACACAGATCAAACAAGTTCAGTAAAATTTAGAGGGTGAAGTGACGACCAAGAAGCTGGGCCTGCCACACACACTTGCAGAGACCCTGCGTCCACATGGGCAAAGCCAAACCAATCATCAAAGGCTAATAAAAGAGGTTTCCTCGCTAGATGCTCCTGATTACGTCTACAAATTATACCCACTTAACCACTTTTGGGTGCACACACCTCGAGATTAATCTGCGGTAATCCTTCAAGCCTTCAGGGCCCAACTTCCACCCGTCGTGCATCAGTGTATAGATTAATCCTGCAACAACCAAGTGGATAATGCATGCCGTGAAAGATGAAAAGTGAATTGCAACAACCTACTCACGAGCAGGTTTAAAATTTCGGCCTCGGATCAGGCATATTGTATCGTTTCGTTAGGGTTCTTAATTTCTCATACACCTGTTTACAGATGCCTCAGAAACCCGTTCGTTTCGTTATGGATTCCAACCATCTTTAGTTGAACTCAGTTTTCAAGCATAATCCACAGGAGCATGCCAGAAATATACCAAGACCCTTCTATTCATTTTTTTCTCCTTCCACGTCAAAATCTAGGACACCAAAATAACCATGACAGATGAAAAGTGAATTGCTTGTTTACTACTAGTACAACACAAGTAAACAAGAAAAGTGAAAGAGAAGATGAAAAAAAAATGTAGAGTGATTTCTAACCACACAATCTGTAGGGGAAAAGGCATAAATAGGAAAATGCTTACACGTCACACAGTGGAGACAAACAGGGTGGGCTATTAATTTGTTAGCTCCATGATGGCAGACACAATATCCCCATCAGCAGCTTTGAGAGCTTTCACAGCCTTCGACCTAGAGACTCCAGCTTGTGTCATCACCAACTCTATGTCCTTGGGTTCCACACCTGTCTCGTCGACCTCTTCATCCTCCTGAGCCATGGCCGATGATTCAGGCTTAGATACAACATGGCTTAGATCAGGAGCCTTGAACTGCTCTGCAGCTTGTGTCTGTAACTGTGAGCTCAAGTCCTCAATCTTTGCCTCCCCAAAAACAACATATGTGTCTGATGTAGGGCTCTTGAAAACATCTGGCTTTGAAATCACAAATAGAATCTGAAAGAAAGAGGCGAAAGGGATTTGTTCAATTGAAATTTGTAAAAGCTAAATGCAGAATGTTCATAATATTAAAGGCAGGAGAACCAAACAAGCCGGAGAGGGACAATAACACACATTCTTGCTTTTCTTGACAGTCACACGGCTGACACCTGGGATGGGCTTCATTCCAAGCTTCAACATTGCTTTGCGACTCTTCTTCTCACTTCTGCTCTGCTTTGACCTACCACTAGCATCTCCTTGCTGACCTGCAAACACAAGTTGAAAGTCCAAACGCTTAAATAACAGGTTTCAAAGAACACTACTGAAAATATCAGGTCCTAGGTCACCACTTACAAGAATCATCAAAAAGTGTTGTGAGGTTAACAAAACCAAGTAAATCAATTCCATAATTGTCAACTATACCAATCAGCATGCACATTAATTGAAAAATAGCAATTATTTTTACTAAGAACGTTAAACTTCCTCTCAAAACATAGCAAATCATCATATCTAAAAATCAATAGTAAATTTAAATTAATTTCAATATTTTCAAAAAAAATAATACTAATATAATAGCATTTAACAGAATGATTCAGCAACTAAAGAAGGCTATAATTCTATATGATAAACATTTAAGATAGAAAGTAAATGAGGAATAGAACAAGGGTGGAGCCACTGTTTTATTGTAGGAGATAGAACAGGGGAAAAAAAAAAAAGAAAAGCTGTTTATCCTTCTCTTCTTTCCTACTTTTCTCTTCTCAAAGCACTTGGGTCTTTCAAATTGCAATAGTAAAACTTCAATAAAAATCATAAAGATATAAATAATACATAATATAATGCATCAACATACGTATCAATAAGAACTAGCCATAGTAATGACATCATAACAAGGCACCTGCTTTGTGATTTGTCACCTAGGCAGGCACCTTATTGCCTAAAGGGCACCTTGCTGCTACAAGTCAAGGTGTTTAGGCGAGGCAATGGTGCAATGCCTTGACAACAATGATTAAATCGATATAGTTTTCCCAACAAACATTACAGGTCCATGCTCATAACATCACAACAATAATAACGAAATGTCCAATATTGGACATTAACTGACCTTCAGCATCATCTTCATCCTTGTCATCATCATCCTCATCCTCATCATCATCTTCTTCTTCTTCATCTTCAACCACAGGCTCATCTGGCTGCAATAAAGATACTCAAAGTTTAGCAACTCCACACTGGAGATTTTTCTTTCTGACTGCAATAAAGGAGGTCATATATCAGTTGCAGAGAAGGCAATGATAATATAAATAGAAGTAAAACCCTATGATAACCTCGAAAAAGTACACCAACATGCCAAATAAAGTTTCTTGTGGTAACCCATGAGAAAAAAAAGCCTATAATGTTATTCTTGTAAAAATGGATACAAATGCCACTACAAAAGCAAAGGAAAAGGAGGGAGAGAGGTCTTAAGGGAGTGGAATTCTTATTTGCTTCTTAAATGAAGGATACAAGTGTCTGAAGCACCCCAATGGTGGTGGAGATGTAATCAATATTATACCAAGGCTCGTATTTTTTATTCAGGCTGACACTCAACCTGATCCTGTCAGTGAAATGCTCCGAAGACAGGAAGTTGGTCAAGCAGGTAAACTACAGAGTTAGGATTTACGTGTTTTCAAAACTCACCATTATTGCCTTCCTAAGACGTACTTACCAATAATTCGTCGAAGTCAAAACAGACATCTACAGAATAACACAAGAAATTATAAAACTAATACTATTATAAATGCCAATCTACCATTTTTTAATACAACACATGGTTTACGACCTTCCCCAAGCAAGCATCGCCACAAAGATGAATGCAGTAGGACACCCCCGATAACTCCTCATGTTAAGAATTTATCCCAGAAAAAAAATGAAATATTATGTAAAATTGTATAAACAAATCACTAGATTATAAACCACTAAACCACAAGCAAAATGGACCAATCTCTACCACCTCACTCTCCTTTCCATAACAAACAATGTAATCTAACTACTTACCAAGACCGAATAAAAAGCATCATAAGTCAACCAATCATTGCTGATGATGAAGCCAAAGACAATAATTGAAACCACATAACTTATTTTTTCCCAACATCATATGAGAATCAAGCACCACTCCATTACTTCTATGTGTGAATCCTCCTCAATCTCCCCCTTGTTATGAAGTGCCAAACCAAGGTAATGGCAAAACAGGATTCAAGTAGCCGACCCCATATAGTTGAGATGAGGCAGATGAAGATGATGATGTAGGAACTCTCACGCACATGGAGAGAGGAGAGAGAGAGGGGGGGGATGAAAACAATTTGAGATCTCAAAACACAATAAGCAACAAATGGATATGGATGCAAGAGTCTTAAAAGTATGAGGTGCAAGACAAGCACAAGGGCTACTTATCAAAAAAGGGAAAAAAAGGACAAGCACAAGGGCTTTTTTGTGCCCTAGGCACAAGGTGCAAAGTAAAGCACGTTCCCAGATGAAGCAAGGTGCAAATTTAAAAAAGACAACAAAGAAGAAAAAATTCATAAACACATAAAAACATGCAAACCTGGATTTCAACGGAAATTAATTGTTTTAAAAAGGCCTATTAGCTTAATTAATATTTTTATGTAAAACAAATTCAAATTCAGAGTGAGACCAAACAGATGTGGATCGTACTAAAATGCCTCAAGGACTCAACAATTCAAGCATGGGAAACTCCTTATATATTTGTTCGTTACTAGAATCTAGATGCATCACTTCAAGTAGCTTGTGTGATGTTAGACACATTGGGTTCCTAGTCCTAAAATGATCAAGGATAGCACTCTCCAACTGAACCTTGTTCCCATATATACATATGGAGGTTGGCATTGTACTTTGGTCACAATTTATTCTATTTTAGTGTCAGGAATCAGATATCTGTTACAATTTTTATCCCTTCTTCGGCAGAAATGTTGCTACCAGAGCTCCTAGCTGCAAATGTATTCCAAACGTTTTTGTTTTGTACCTTTTGAAAGTTAATAGGCCATTACTGGTGAACTGGTGCACAAGCACCAATAAAAAGGTTATTTAGAAGTTAGTGTGGCAGTACAATGGTGCAAAACACAAGAGAATGTAGAAAAAAAAAAGGAATCCAAGAAAGTAAGAGTGTAAGACTATGAAAAGGTGCCCCCTAAGTCGCATTTTGGTCCCAACAAGCCATTGCAGCCGTATGCCAGGAACATATTCCCATGAATGACAAAGGGAGATGTTCTAGATATGGGGCTGTAGTGGCTTATTGGCACAAGATCCAAGCTCCCTCGCCTGAGGTGCATGCCATGAGATGTTTCTCGCCTGTGTCCATAGGCACATCAGAAGCACACCTTTTAAAAACTGGATAGATGCTAAGCTATAGTTTTCCCTACATCCTATCATTATATCTATTGGAAATTCTATAGATTTGGCAAAACACAATTCTGTTGTACATCACTATCATTTGGCGATTGACCACTCACAGCTACGCCATTTACAAGGTTACAACTTTTTCACATCAACCTATCGCTCCATGTTTCAAAATTGCAAAAATTCAGTTATGCAACAGACATCTCACATTTCAACTTCTAAACCCAAAACTATCTATCACAAATTCACAGATAAAATTTATATCTATTCTGTTCAAAAACACGAATCCTACATAAAGCAAGGGGGATCCATCGTACAACAACGAAATTGAAGAATTCCAGCTGATACGCACTGTTCTAAGTCACTTAAGCACCAAAATAAACCATTTTAAGTAATTATGGTCTTGAGTTCTGATTAACCAACAGTACTAACAATGTTGACGAAGAAAACTGTAAAGATAGATTGATCATTAATTAAAAAAAAAAAAAAATAGGGCAGGCATGTTAAAGTGTCACTTCCATTTTGAAAGTCAATGAATACAAAAAACAAAAGTATAGGATTCAAACCACACAATGCTCAAAGAATAATTGAGGAATCGAGAGAGGGAGGGGGGACTTACCTCAATCTTTTGCTGTTCGAGATGAGCAGCAAGAAGCTCTTCTTGCTGCTGAGCAGTCATGGCGTTTAGGGGTTTTTTGTCCGTGTAAGTGTGAGAGAGAGAATCGTAGATACTGTAAAAACCCTAAAACCCCAAAACGCAGAGGCAAAGACGAAATCGGGGAGGGGAAACTTTTATAGCATGGTTTCACCATGTCGAAAATTCTAAATTGACATTGTCCTTTTCAGAAAATGGCCAATATGTCACAGGGATGGAACTGGGTACGGATTAACCACTAATAAGTCAGGAAGAAGAAGAGAGCTGATTAGCTGAAGTTGATAGCGGTTTAAGCGGATCAATCATTTTGCTCCAAACAAAACAAAATTGCATATACTCCACAATCACTCAATATCGCACTTGTACGTATGACTTGTGCCTAGCAAAATGATTGGTGATATAGTCTATGAAACCGTTATCAACTTTAGCAAGTTTACCTAAAGTAGGGATGTGTTAAGATTGAAGGTCTCTTTTTTGGTAAAACGAGAGATATATTAAATGTTTAAATTAGAGAAATAAATAAAACCATTAATGCGGTGTTTGGTATGGCTTCCATTTATTAAAAACTACAGTGCTATGTTATTGTTAGATCAGTATTTAATACCCATAAGTATTGATAAAAGTTGGGCATTGATTTATATGTACAACAACGGTTGAAAAAAGCTTCATTTCAATGCTTCTCCCAATGGTTAAGCGTTTATTCATTGTTCTGCTGATGCGATACCTACCGACATTTAGTTGCTAGTAAACAGTTTATCAAATATAAATATTTATTTAATAAATGAAAGATATACCAAACACATATGAAGTATATGAAGCGGTTCCAAGTGAGTCACACCTAACTAAGGTGGCACTGAGTAGCAGTGAATGGACCTCGGAATAAAGTGTTGCATTTTTAGTGGTTGGAGGTCGTTCGATTCTGCCTCTGAAGCATCATCCCTCCAAACACTTAAAAACCCTTGAAATAATTCAGTGATTGAATTACCTTTGAACGTTTTTGGAGGTAACAGGCGAAATCTCACTTCCGACCATGTCCTTGTATAAATTTTAAAAACCCAAAATCGGTCATTGCCTTCCTCCACCCTTTCATAACCGATAAATGTTCCCTGTTACGATGCTCATCTCTACGACATCATCATTGTACTGTACTCATTCTCCTCCTATTGGTCTCAATTCTCTATAGTTGATTCGGCTTTGATCGACGGTCCCAGGTACACCCATTCTCCAATTCAAGGTTAGGGTAGGAGATTCTTCTATTCCAAATTCCAAACCTAGATTTCTCACAAGATTCCTCCAATGAATACATTGCCAATCCATTACTAGAAGATGTAGATGGGAATGGTTCCAGTAAAAGGAAATGATGTTCGAATTGATGAGTTGGATGTTGAAGAAGAGAAGAAGAGAGTGATGATCAGTCTAAGATTTTGACGGTGTGGATTGGAATAGAAGAAATAAAAGGTCTAGTTACTAGTAGGATCATGTTATAGGAGTGAGAGTGGTGGGCATTTCAGCATTTGATAGGTGTTGGATTAATGAACAGTGGAAAATTATTCTGATTCTACTTTCGATATGGATTCAGAGAATGGAAGTATGTTTGTGTTTGTTTCTGAATGTTAGAGGATATGCATTGTTGATGGGTTACAAGGGAGATAAGCTTACGGGTTGAATTGTTGTTGAAGATGGGTAACAGTAAAAGTAAGTGGAATGAGCTTAAGAAGATTTCCACATGAATGGGCGAATTCGCTGAGAGGTTGCTGGATGTTTTGTATGCAGACTTCACGGAATAAGTTGCAGTCTTGGGGTGCTTCCAGATGAGTGTGGCAGCCGGTAAAGACTGATTTGGGTTGGTTTGGAGAATGCATGCCACTTCACTGTTGGTGAATAGAGATTCTATGAGTCTTGTGTTCCACGAGCCATCGGCATGCATCCACTCTAGTAGCATTGGCAACCAAAGGGTCTTGAAAGGAAAAAACATCTCTTCCATTTTTTATGAGCCAGATGAGTTCGGGTTTCATTTTTTCTCTTACCTTCAAGGTTTGTTTCCACCACTAAGATGCCTCGCCTGACACCTACGCTCTCTAGATGCTCTTGTTGTGGAAATATTTGAGGAGTCTCCATAATTGTTTAGCAAATAATGCTTGATTCATTTCTCACAATTTGCGCAGACCCAGACCACCATGTCCTTTTGGCCTTGTGACTTTTGCCCATGCAATCTGGCTCGAAGGCTAGTCTTAAGTTCCATGAGCCCAAATGAACAACTGCCTTGTGGATTTTTCAATTTCTGCTATTTGGATGGATGCCAAGATTTGCGATGCTCATTTGGTACGTGGGCACCGCAGAGATGACTGACTAAACTAAGGTGATCCGCCCTACTTGTGAGAGGAGTTGTGCTTTCCAACTTGCTAGTCTAGCCTTGTGATAATCCTGCATTTTGATGCCTTAAGGGCATCAATTCAGGGGTATTTTCGGTCTTAAAATAATCAAAATGTACAATTTTCCCTGTTAAAATCAATTATGTGACATCTGAGGGTCTCTATGGAAAATATTTCTAAGCTGAAGTGCAATTTTTGTGAAGTTGGTGTGAAAACCATCTGAGAGAGGGTGTGCTTTTTGTAAAGAATTGAAAGTAGGAGGGCGCCCCCTAGCTGCTAAACCCAGTATGGCACCCATCCTACTGTATTAGCATGCTCCCCACGCCTTAGCAAACCCTAAGGCGCATTTTAATCCATTCTTTTCACTCTTAACAAACCCTATCCACCCCTAACTGCTAAATCCTCACCTTCCATCCTTTCTAATATCCACCATTCATTCTATGACACTCTCTTTTTAGCATTCTAGCCCTAGGAGCCACTTAACTTTTAATCTTCACCATTCAGCCTTTAGTCATTAAATCTCAACCTTACATAATATTGGGTGCCTTCTACTTTTCTTCTTAGCCTTAGGATCACCCTAAAACCATCCTAACCTTTCATTCTAAACCCTAGGGCACCCATATTTTTGCTAAAACCCAGTTGTCGCCCCCCTCTTTTACTCTAATTCCAGTTATATCCACCCTTCTCTATAAAAAGAACCCTACGGGCCCTGGAGAAGGGTTTAGTCAATTCACCCAATTAACAAGGCTAAGGTTTCTTGAGGAATTCAAGGATTGTAGAAGGGGAGGACGCCCAAATCTTGTCAGGAGGGGTTCCTGCAAACTGTTCAACCAATCTACAACTACCGCCACTGGATTTGATCAACCATTCTTTTCTTTTCTTTGTTTTTTTTTCTATTATTTTTATTTTTGCAATCTTTTAGATTTAATTCTTATTCATTTCTCTGTTTTGCATATCTGAATTCGTTTAGATCAAAGCTAAGGTGTTTCAAGGGGTTCGAGGGTTGTAGAAAGGACGGATGCCCGGTTCTTATCAGGAGGGGTTTCTCCAAGCTGTTTGGCCGATCTGTAGCTACCGCCACCGGATCTGGATTCTGGGTCATTTTTTTATTTACTTCTTTTATTCGCTTTGTTAATTCCCATACTTTATTAAATTCTGAATTTTATTTATTGTCTTGTTTAAATTCAACACATTTAATTTCAACAATAATAGATTTTATTTTCATATTTTTTGTCATCCCTGATTGCATTCTCTTGTTCGGATCTAAGTATATATTAATTTTTCACTTGCTTCCATGTGGATACAACGGAGAAAATTTTTTTTACTTTTATCCGAATTTGTTTCATTATTTTTTTCTTTTTCGTTTCGTTACTTAATCCGTTATCTCAATTTAATTCTTGTTTCTCAACATGGTGCACAGCTTATCTCCACAGAGATTCTTCGTACATGACCAACCCTCAAAGATTCTTCGTACATGGCTGTGTCAAAATTTTCCTAACCCTTTGACTCTTAAACCGGTAGTCCCAATAGCACCTATACTATGACATATGTCCACTTTCTTATTCTGTACACATTGATCGAAATTTTTGGTTGAAATTATTCTTGAAATTATTGACCGAAATTTTCAATAATCTCTTGTTACATAGACTTATTTAAGTTTCAGCCTATTGACCGGTGGTCCCAAAAGAAACAACAAAAGTTTCAGCCTATTGACCGAAATTTTTGAAATTATTCTGTACACATTGTTACATAGACTTATTGTCCTTAAGAGTACTACAACATATGTCAACTTTCAAAACACTACTCAACTACACTATGACAACCAAGCCTACTATTATCCCATAGTTTCTGGAAAAAGAAATTTGGGAGTCTGTCTTGACCAGAGTCCTTCTTTGGATCCATTTAGAACAAAGCTTTCTTCACCTCTTCTTCAATAATCTCTTTCTCCAACTCCCTATTTTCATCTTTCATATTTAATCGCTCGTGTGCAGCCGAGGAATTCCTCCATGTTTGTTACTGATGATGTTTTGAAATTTTCCATAAAATGTTGGTTCATGATTTGATTGATCCCATCTTCATTATCATGCCAAATTCTATCATCATCTTTCAATTTCAACATTTTATTCCTTGTTGTTCTCTTCATGGTAACATCATGAAAATATTTTGTACTCCCATCTTCATAAGACATCCAGTTCACTCTATCCTTTTGAGCAACATGATCTCCTCTATCTTGAGGAGCCCACATGATCTCTTTAACTCTTACATTTTGTTGATAAATAAACAAAAAAGTATACACTACAAAGATAAAACATTACATAAAGAAAATTCCAACCAAATAAGTAGGCATACCAATGATACCCAAAACTTTGTAGACCAATATGAGGTGCATACATATCAAATTCAGGTTTAGCAATCTGCATCAAATTAATAGTGAAAAAATAAAATAAATAAAATACATGAATTTTATAGAAGATTTTGAATATATTCTTCCTATCATTATCATCATCTAGGGTCTGTTTGGTTCACAGTCGGAATCGTAACCGGAACTGGAAACGAAATCGTCCAGAATCAGAATCGGAATGGTCCGTTCCCATAATCTGTTTGGTTCAAATATGAATGGAAATGGGAATTAAAATCAGCAGGAATGAGATTTCTTTCTCAAGGGAGGGGTAGGGAATGGCCATTCCCTCAAATGGTGAAATGCCATTCCAACAGGAATGGAATGGGATTCCTATTCCGCCCAA